TGTGTGTGTGTGTGTGTGTGTGTGTGCGCTGTTACCTGGCTTTTTATATTGTTGCTGGAGATAGAATTGTGTCCTTCTGCTTTTGTGGCAAGCACGCTGAATGAGCTGTTTCCCATCTTCTTTTCTAAAGTGCAAACATTTTTTTTTCTGAAAGGGAATTTCAGGTTTAGAGAATATTATTTTTAAAAAACATTAGGTACAGACCTGAAAATGCACTTCTGATAACTGGTCAGTGGGGTTGAGACACCTGTCGGTGAAGAGAGATCAGTGCCTGGGGCTCCCCAGATCTGAGAAGTCTTTCTGAAACATTAGGATTTGCCCTGCCTGTGCTAGTGGCCACTACTTGTCCTGCAGGCTTCAGGGGGCAGTCCCTGTATGAAATGCTTGACATCAGTTTTTGCTACTGAGTATTTATAGTGGCTGGAGCCTCCTCCATGGGTCACTTTTGTGCTGTGGTTTCTTGGGGGAAATTGTCTGCAGCTCTCCTATCCAAACCACATTGCCCACATTTGACTTTTGACACTGTCAAAGAGGCAGTCCAGGTGGATACATTTGGTTGTGAGGAGGTCCTGCCATCGTAGGATGGGTGATTGCTGATCAAGAAGTCAAGGATGCTTGTTGTGAAGTCTGTTGTCTCTCACCAGACTCTCTCTTTCCTCCCAAACCATCTCTTCCCATGCTTTAAAAACATTTTTTTTTGTTAAATTAGAAACCAAACAACCATTTGGCCATTCTATATGCTCTTCTTGATGATTTTATGAACAGAGAGTAAGGGGCTCCAATGTGGCTCCAGTGAAGACATTGACTGCTATGGTCATCTTGCCTTGTTGTTCTCCCTGCCAGGCTTCTACACCTGAGGCAAGTGACATTTATCCTGATAGCCATGAGGCAGTGTACCCTTGTGGTTAAAGGAACTTCCCAGCACTATGGTCAGCAAGTGATGCAACACAGAAGGGTGGAATCTGATAGATCCTGGTCCCAAATGGACTCTTTCACCCATGCAGGTGGAGGCTTAACTGACTGTGAGGTAGCCAGCATTTGGAGGCAGGCTGGAGTGAAATATGCACAGCACACTTGACAGTTGGTAATTGTGTACTGGTTACTGCCTCCCTCTAACCTTTTCTTCTATGTTGACATCAAGCCACTCTGTCTTCAGAGAGTATGAAGCACCTGAACGAATGCTCAAGGTTCAGCTGTACAGTTTGTAGACAACCTTCCGGCATCAGGTCATACTGATGACTTCTGTAGGTCATTCCAACTTCTGTTGGAAATTAAACCCTAATAAATACACATGCTTGTTAAGAGAATGCAAGGGCAGAAACACCCTGAAAGAAAAAAATGCAAATAATATATCGAATAGAGAATTAGTATATATGGTAATAAAGAATTCCCAAAGTTCAACATTGAAACAAACCATTCAACTAGAATATATATGAAAAATGGAGAGGTGGTTCACCAAAGAGAAATGTGCAGGTAACCAATAAGTACCCAAAAGATAACCATCATGAGTTGGGGATGTATTTCAGTGGGAGAGTCCTTGCCTAGTATGTGTTTGGCTCTCTGGGTTTAAAACTGCAGAAAAACAAAAGCAAAACAAAACAAAAACCACAATAGCAATAAGAAACCCCTTATTAGATATCATTGAAATAAAAAAATAGTAATAGCAAGTGCTGGTGAAGTTGGGTCAAAGGTGCTGCTGGGAAAAGAAAGTGGGGGTGGTCCTCCAAAGGCATATTGGCAGTCTCTCAGAAAGCTAAACCGGAATGGAATGTGTATGAATTGGCAGTTTCACTCAAGGGCATTTATACCAGAGAAAAGAAGATATGGCCACTCAAAACCTGTTCATATATATATATATATATATATATATATGTTTTGTTCTGGAAGCATCAGGATGCAAGGGCAATGGTGAGACAAAACAGCCATGGTCCATGTGTGTAGTGGATGGGAGATGAGCTGAGTTCTGTCTTTCAAACCTCTGACATTCTTTTTTAAAAGATGATTTAGTTTTAATTGTGCATGTGTATGTACACGTGCATACATGTGAGTGTAATGTGAGTGTAGGTGTTGTCTGAGGAGGCCAGAGCTGTCAGATCCCCTGGAGCTGGAGTTAGAGGTGGGTATGAGCTAGCCACCTGACATGGGTGCTGGGAACTGAACTCAGGTCCCCTGTAAGAGCAGAATGTGCTTTCCACCTCTCAGCCATCTCCCCAGAACCGCATTGTTCTTTTCTCCACCTTTTCATCTCTGTTTGATTGGATTTCACGTTACCTTTCCTCAAATACACCTTTTTAGGGATGTGTGTGGCTGTGACTGCTGATGGCACTGTCTTTCTACCTCAGCAAATATGTCTCATGCCCCTCTCCCTATTGCCTTAGAATGATCTGTCCAAGACACAAATGAAGGGACCTTGGAAAGTGGCCTATGCACTTTTCCAAATACAGTTGGTAATTTATAAATTTCTTTCTGTGAGGAAGTGGAAGATATGTGAGAGATTTCTGTTTTCAGTTTTAAGGTCAGGGAAGACTCCCAGCCCCACAGGGATTGTGTGGCACATTGGCCAAAGTATTGGTTCCAGAGTCAAAAGATCTTTATGTCTTTCTTATAACAAGAGGGGTATTCTTGGAAAACTCGATGAATTTTTGTGAATTTGGTGTTCTTATTTTTTAAGTTATTTTATTTTTAACTATGTGTGGGAGCATTGCACGTGAGTGCAGTGCCTTCAGAGTTAAGAAGAGGGTGTTGATTCTCCCTGGAGCTGGAGTTTCAAACAGTTGTGCAGCATCATAAGTGGGTGCTGGGAATTGAACTTGGGTTTTCTACAAGAGCAGGAAGTGCTCTTAACTGCTGAGCCATTTCTCACCCCTCTTGGCTTTATTCTCAATAAAACTGGAGCTAATGAAGCGGTGTGTCCCTGGAGGTCACAGGGAGAGCAGGTGAGATACACTGCGATATGGCTCTGAAGCCTGTAAGGCGTCACATCTCTGGGGAATACAGCTGTGTAAACAACTTTTCTGGAACTTGAAGAAAGCACATCTGTAATTCTGCCTGAAGACCTGAAAGGTATGACGTGCTCATGCCTGTGACCCCCTGGTTGAGGCCCATCCTGAGACAGCCCACTTAGGTATTCATGGCAAGCTGCAGTAACCTAAGACACCTGCCCCACAGTGCAGCTGTGGGGAGGAGGCACACACTCCTGCCTGCGTGTGGTGGGGTGTCTCCAGCGGGGAGGGGCAGGAATGTACATCGTGTCTTGCAGGAAAAAGCCTTCCCATCTCCCTGCTCTCCAGGCAGTCTGCACTCCTAGCAAGGAGAACAGGAGAGAGGAGTCCATTTCTGGTAACCTGCCAAAGGCTTCCTCAGCCAGTCTGCTCAAAGAGTGACCTGCATGACAAGTAGAAGACTGTGAGAGGCAGATGGATCATGTCAGCTCAGTGCTTTATGGCTTTTGTGGCCTCAGAGCAGTCAGTGACAGGGTTGCCAGCTTGCTAGTTTTTCGGGAAATTCTGGGTCAGCCAAGAGGCTGAGACAATGAAAGGAACACAGGCCAAAGCCCTCTCTTCTTATATTAATACATGTCTTAGCCAACTCAGGCCTCATCCATTACATCCCTGACAGCAAAGGGCCTCTAGAAAGATTAGTGATGCAGGAGAAGTTGCAAGGTTTGCAAGTAATGATGGCTTAAATTTGTGGAACACATGAAGGTGTGAAACACCTCAAATATTCCCTCAGCTGGTGTGTGTGTGTGTGTGTGTGTGTGTGTGTGTGTGTGTGCACTTCCCTTCCCATCTCCTAAGAATGGAGAAAGTGACTCTTCACTTACTTTCCTGGTCTGTGGCTGGAATTCCTTCATTAGCCTCTCCTGAGGTAGATTCTGCAGCTATAGTACCATCAGCATTTCTGTTTTGTGCCCTCTTTTATCTGTCTCGGGGGCTCAGATCAGAGCCAGTAGTGGCAGTGAGGAAGTAGACCAGCAGAGCTGTCTTGTTTTGTGCTGCGCTGTTCTCCTTTTCCACCCTTTTTAGAATGGTAGATCTGAGCCTTTGGTGTGCTTTGGGGTGTGTGTACACAGTTGCACTTTGCCTGTGGTTCACACATGAATTTCCTCTCAGAATTCCCCGGGTTCTGTTAGTTCCCAGTTCTTCTGGCAGGGAGCAACAGAAAGTATTTTGTGTAGAAGTCTACACCCAAATCTCTCTTCACCTGTGAGTTTATTTGCTTTGGAGTGGAATAAATCAGAGATCCTGGTTTCTTTATCCCAAAGAAGAGAGAAAAGGCTCATGGGTTGTCAAGGGGTAGAGGCTGCCTTGTCTGAGCTGTTCTCTAGTGCTCAGAATCTCAATGAGTATGTTGATCTGGGCCAAATGTGTGAGTGCCTGGGAATTGCAACCCCAGCTGCCTCTGGGGGTTTCTGAGAAAAGCACAATTGCTTATAAAGCAGGCCAGCTGAGGTAGAGTCTTTGGGTGGGGGAGTGTAGGGAGCTGTTGCTTTTAGGGTCTCTAAATGATTCCTGTGTACAGCAGAGGCTGAGGACCTTGGTCTGAGGTGAACTGGTGTCACAGGTAGAGGCAGTCCTGCTACCTTCCCCCAGCTGTGCCTTGCTTCCAGTGATACCAGCATCATGCAGACACCATGGGAACAGCTTGCCACTCCATTCTGCTGGAATCTTCCGTGAGCACATTCACGGACTTTCACTGTGTTCTGACCCCTCTCCCCATCTCTCCATGGAGGAGGAAAGTTGATAGTTAATTTTGCAGGGCCTCCATATATCCCATTTCAATGTGTGGGATAGCCTTGAGTATGAACTACTCAGCAGGTGTTTCCTGCCCTCTTGTCCCCCCAGTACTGTGAGGGATGGTTCATAAACAACAGTACTTCCTTAGCAAGGGCTGGTCCTCAGCCTCACCAATTGCCATGCAATTTTAGGTGAGTACTAAAGCTTGTCTACACCTAACTTGCTTCATCTATGAAATGGATAACGGGCTGTTGTGTCCAGCAGGATTGTCTGAGGTTTTCCATGCAAATGTGTCAACCACTCAACTCAGTGCCAGCCCTGGAAGCACTCTGTGAAGCTGCCATGGCCCCACCACCCTCATCATCCTTGTCATTTTCCAATACAAATATTGTGAGTTTGTTTTAGTTTTCTTTCAGTTGTTGTGATAAATACCACAAGAAAAAACAACCTGGGGAGGAGAAGTGTTTGTTTGACTTACACTTCCAGGTTAAAATCCATCACTGAGGGAAGTCAGGCAGGAACCTAGAACAAAAAGTATGGAGGAATGCTGCTTACTAGCTTGCTCACTGGCTCTCGACCACTAGCTTTCTTACACAGCCCAGACCCAGCTGCCTAGAGAAGGTGCTACCCACAGTGTGCTAGGCCCTCCCATATCTATCATAAATCAAGACAGCCTCTCACACACACAGTGATAAACTAATTGGATTGAGGCAATCAAATAGGGTCCTTCTGCTTAGGTGACTTTAGGTTGTGTTAAGTTGGCAATAAAAACAAAGGAAATAAACTTGTCAAAGATAACTCATCCTTAGTTCTTGAGCCATGGATATTTTTATTTTAAAATTTAACTGGTAGCATTACTTAACTACTGTGCCCTGGGACACTTGAATTTCAAATGATTGTATCCAAAGGACTTTTATAATTGGACCATGCTACTAAAAGCTGATTTTAACCTTCATGATGTTTGGTTCATTGCTTTGCTTTCTTCTCCTTAACTATATGCTGTGAACTCCTTGACCATTGTCTTAGTCAACATTCTCTTGCTGTGAAGAGACACCATGACCATGGCAACTCTTTTTTTTTGGGGGGGGGAGGGTTGGGTGGGTGTTCAAGACAAGGTTTCTCTGTGTAGCTTTGGAGCCTGTCCTGGAACTGGTTCTGTAGACCAGGTTGGCCTCGGACTCAGAGGTCCCCTTGCCTATGCCTGGCAACTCTTATAAAGGAAAACATTTAATTGAGACTTGTTTACAGTTTACAGTGGTTTAGTCCATTATCGCCATGGTGGTGGCACACAGGCAGACATGGTGCTGGAGAGTTAGCTGAGAGTTCTACATCTGATTGGGCAAGCATCAGGAAGACCCTGGGACTGACTTGAGCATTTCAAACTTTAAAGCCAACCCTCAGTGACATACTTCCTCCAACAAGGTCACACCTACTCTAACAAAGCCACACTTCTAACCCCTATCAAGTAGCACCACTCCCTAATAACCAAACATTCAAATCTATGAGCCTATGGGGGATGTTCCTGTTCAAACCACAGCCATAATTCCTGGAACCAAGGGAGTCAATTGACAGCAGCATCCTCAGTCACCTGGTGGGGGGATGTGTCCTTGTAACCCTCAAATGGTGTTCTTTAGGTGCTGCCCAGCACAGGTGGGTGCTGCTCATCCAGCCCCACCCCTTCATTCTATTAACACTCTCCTCAGCCTCTTTCTCATTTAATCCCCCTTACCCTACCACCTCTTCTTGAACAGTGACTGTTCTTGTCAATGTTGAGTCCCTGCACCTATCAACAGCCAGCACATGTTATATACTCTCTACACAACTGAATTCATATTCTAGCAGAATAAAGGAAAAGTCTCAAGTTACACTGTGAAATCTACAATGATGAAATGCAGCCAGTTACAGTGTTTTGGAAGCACAGGCCTTTCCACAGTTCCATTTGACCTGCTGAATGGCTGTGGTGTGGGTGGGATGGCCTATGCTCAGCCTTTTCCTCTTTCATTAGTAGTGCAACATCATGGTACACGCTCTAAGCTGGAGTCTGGTGCCTCACTGTTAAATTTGGCTCTGGCTTCCTTTCCATGGACATTACGTGCTCAGCTGTGGAGGGGGGGGGTCGTGTATGTGATATGTAAGGCTCCTTTTGTTCTTACTTATTTTTATATTATGTGTATGAATATTTGCTTGCATGTATGTATACATATGTGCCTGGAGCTGTGGAAGTCAGAAGAATTCCCTAGAACTGGAGTTACAGATGGTGCGAGCCATTATGTGAGTGCTTGGAACAAACCAAAGTCCTCTGCAAGAATAGCTAGTGTTCTTAACTCCTGAGCCACCTTTCCAGGTCCCCTGACCCTTTAATGATTTACTTATATTTTATGTGTATGAGTGTCTGCCTGCATGATTGTGAGTACAGCACATGTGTACCTGGTGCCCATATGTCCTATCTAGTTTTATATTAACTTGACCACAAGCTCAAGTCATTTTGGGAGAGACTTCTAACTGGAACAATACCTTTATAAGGTTTGCCTAGGCACAAGTCTGTAGTACATATTCTTGATTGATGGTGGACACAGTTCACTGGGGTAGTACTACCTACCTCTGGGCTAGTGGTGTTGGATACTATGAGAAAGAAAGCTGAGCAAGCCAACAAGCAGCACTCCTCCATGGTCTCTTCAGTTTCTGCTTCCAGGTTCCTGCCCTGACTTCCCTAGATGATAAAGACTATAAGCCAAGCCATAAGATGAAATAAACCTTTTCCTTCCCAAGTTGCTTTTGGTCTTGGTGTTCTATAAGAGCATAGAAATCCTAACTAAGACATAAACTAGTACCAAGAGTGGGGTATTAATGTGACAGATTGATCATATTTTGGGAGGATTGTGGAAGGACTTGGGAACATTGAGCAGGGGAAGTCACTGAATTTAGTGCTTAATTGGCTGTTGTAGGAACTTGGAAGATAAGAATACTAAGAGCAGTGCAGACAATGGAGGCCTGCCTTGTGAAGTTTCAGAGGGAAGCAAAGATTCTTTTACATCCATTTTTGTAATAATTTGAATTAAGAACCACTAAAGGAAACCTCTGCTTTACTGGGACAATTTATACTGTTCAGCTGGGGTGAAAGAGTCAGCTGAGATTAAGAAGGGATGGGCATCATTGAGGCAAAATCTTCTGGGAGGGTTTTCTCAGGGTCAGCACACAGAAGCTGTGGTCCATTGGAGGCCAAGGTTATACCTCATACTGGCAGCAAAACTTGGTAATGGAAAAGTCAGCCAGATGGTACTGGTTTTGAAGGCATAAAGGGATCGTGGAAAGAAGCTGAGGCTTGGCACTGTGTGGTAGGCTGGAGTCCATGAAGTGATCCCAGGAGAGGCTATTGGTGAAAGAGCAAACCAGTAAGCAGCACTCCTCCATGACCTCTGCATCAGCTCTTGTCTCGCCCTGAGTTCTTGTCTTGACTTCCCCTCCATGAAAGACTGTGATCAGGACATATGAGCTGAAATAAACCCTTTCTTCCCCACGTTGCTTTTGGTCACTGTGTTTTATCACAGCAGTAGAAATGCTCACTAAGACACTATGGAAGCCTGAAGAGGCTTTCAGATCTCCTGGAACCGGAGTTACAGATGGTTGTAAGCTTCCTGATGTGGGTGCTGGGAACTGAACCTGGGTCCTCTGCAAGAGCAGCAAGCAGCCCTTAGTGTTGAGCTACTTTCCAACCCTTTCTCTTTGTTTTTGTTTTGTTTTGACTGAGGCTCATATTTGTCTCCCTCAGGAGAGGACAAAGGACATGGTAGCCAGAGAATTGTTTTCTGCATTTACTTCCTGAACTTGGCAGCCTGCGTTAGGGCAAGATCATCTTCAGTGAGCCAGAGGCGGGCATTGGTGGTTTGTTCAGTTGTGGGGTACACAGTTGTAACTAAGTCTTCTGGTGTCAGTTAAGAGTGTTCTGAAGAGGGCAGTTGATAGGGTGGTCTGGAAAGGGGAGGCACACTGTGGCTGGCAGCTTATACCCGGTACATCGGACGTGAAGTCGCTGTGTCTTTTTTTGTGGAGGGGGTAGATTTTTCAAGGATTCTAGCCCCGTACTTCTCTGTGTTGTGCTCAGGAAATTTAATGTCATCATGTGACATTGGGATGCTCTTTGACCTTTGCTAGGAGCACATGCACAAGCTAACTAAAGCATTTAATGGTGAAAAACATTTAACTGCTTCACTGTGTGGTGAGTTTGGGTAACACTGTAGGCAATAAGATAATGACAAATTTAAGAGACTCGTGAAAATGAAGCAGGTTTAAATACCCCGTTCTGCAGAGACATCAGCTGAGAGAAAAGGGCAAAAGTGGCCACTGTGCTAATATGGCGCAAGTTCTGGCTCTTCATCCATGGGCAGGACTTGCCCGATTTCTAGATTCTCCATCCTATTGGCTCAGGATACAGCCTTATCTTATGAATAACATGGGCCTCAAGACTTCTCTGATCCTGAGATCAGCCACTTGTACCTTTCTGTCCTCGAGTCCTAAGACACAGGGGGGAGGGACGCAGTGCCTCCTGCTTATCTGTGACTCTGATGAACTTTGAGTGCACCCCATGCTGAAAATGCACCTTCATCATCTACTTCTTACAACATCAAAACTGTCAGGAAAAGATGCCTCTTCCTTTGAACCCCCCCTTCTTCTGAGTGACCACTTGGAGGGGGAGGCAGTGAAAGAGGTGGGTGTTGGCATCAGCCAGGCCTCTTATGGACCACCATGCTTGGCTATGCGCATGGTCACATGCCACTTTCCTTTGTTGGGGGGAATACTCTGATCTCATCTCACCCTTTGCTATTAATGGCAATGGTGGTTTCTTACAGACTTTTTAAACCCAAGATCTTATCTTCTGCCCAAAGGAGTTCTATGAGAAGGGCAGGACAGTCCTCCTCCTTTCTACATGGTTTTCCTATGGCTCACAAAAGCTGCTGGCCTGGGGTCTTGGTGGAGCTTGGAATAGGGCTGAAATTTGGCCTGAAATTCCTAGGGCCCCAGATTCTTAGATCCAAAGCTGGAATTACTGTAAGCCAGTGGTTCTTAACCTTCCTAATGCTGTGACCCTTTAATACAGTTCCCCATGTTGTGGTGACCCCCAACCATAAAATTATTTTGTTACTACTTCATAGCTGTAATTTTGCTGTTGTTATCTATCATAATGAAAATATCTGATATGCAGGATATCTGACATGTGACCCTTGTAAAAGGGTCATTTTGACCTAAAGAGGGTTTTGATCCACAGGTTGAGAACTACTGCTGTAAGCAGTGATTCTATGGGTTGGAATTGTACCTAATTGATCCATCCCTACCCAGCCCTCCCCTGTGAATTGTGAGCTTCACAAAGGTGGGCTATAGTCATTTGCTGTAGT